TAAGCCAATGTACATAGTATCTCCTTTATTATCCTTAATTTTGTGGGTCATTCACATGTACAATAGCAACTTGAAATTACTTAATGCACTCTTTGTTAAAATACTTGTAACAAAAAGAATCCATATAGAAGGATAAATAATTAAGGATAGTGAAACTAACAGATGTAGGGTCACATGTTTTGTTTACTATGATTATGCTTAAGTTCATGTACTTGAAGCCCCAAAAATTTTATACATATAATTTAAATTCCTAGTTCCTACTAGTGATCTAACCATAGCTTGTGTGGTTGTGTAAATATTACCAAAATTCCTGCCACAAATTTGGCAGAATATCTGATTGTGTGCATACTTGTAAGTACAACCACAGATACTATGGTACACCTAATGTGTAAGTTTAAATAATCAGTATTATCATTAACTGAAATAACATAATTATCGAAATTAACATATTCTTATGTGTTATAATTTTGGATCAAATGTGTCATTTTAATGGACCATTTTTGTGATATGTTGCTACTGAGAGTAATAACTTCACTTGTAGTATGCTAATTTATAATTACAAATACATTTTTATTGTTGTTATGTAGCTTGCAATTTAATCTGTCATGTCGGTTATACTGTCAATTCCAATTGTACTGACTGTTATTTGGCTAGTATCTGTGATGCAGACAGTCCATGTATGAATGGAGGACAGTGTATACAGTATTCACCTCCTGATAATTATACTTGTAATTGTACTGGTACAAGATTTCAGGGAGTCAACTGTACTGGTGAGTAAGTAAAATGTATTTACTAAATGACTGCATGGCTTCAGTGATTTATTTATTGTCAAAACTATCACAGTTTTATATGCATTGTTTATCTTTCTCATTTTATTTTTATTTTATACGTCACATACACTGTACAATTGCTTGTTCATACTTTGTAACAATCACTTCAAATCATTTCTCACTTTCAGATCGTGTCACTAATGGTTCATGTCCTGCTAATGCAACATCGATATTAGTATTAAATGATGGAACCATCAATGTGCCATTGACAAAACCAGTTTGTATTCGATGCAGATTTATTAGTAATCAAGGTGATTTTATTTCCTTCTCTGATGGTGTATGGAGGAAAGGTAGTACTGTACTAAGTGATGGTGACTTTAGTGGAAATGTTATAATATCAAATACTTCTAATACATTGTTTCTTACTCTTGTACATCCTGCTACTGTTGTTGATGTTGGTGATACACTGACATGCTCATCATTTTCAGCTGACCAGCAATCTGTCATTACTATTGGAGCTTTTAGTGAGTTGATATATCATTTGTTTGTACATATGTTTCATTAATTCTTTTCTGTAGACTTTTTAAACCCAAGAGTATCTCCTAATGGCACTGTTAGTGTCATTGAAGGATCCCACTTAACATTAACATGTTCTG